CGCAGTTCCCCCGGGTGAGGTATGGGGGCAGGGCACATGACGAAGCCCCACCCCCTGCTTCCGGCCGCCCCGCTTTCGGCCCTCATTCAGCCAGGAGGAGGCAGGAGAAGAGGGAGGGTAAGTTGCTTCCTCCCTGCCTCTCCCCACCCCTGCCTGCCTGGGGCCAGGGAGGGCCTTTGCGGGGCTTCCTTGCACTCCCACCAGCCTTGCAGGTCCACCGCCGGGCCCCTCATGGGGCTCGGCAGTGGAGCTGCAAGGCCGCCGGCGGCGGCCGGGACTGTTGGGGACGGGGGGTGTGGCCTTATGACACACTTCCGGTGATGTCAGGGAGTGTGGCCTTATGACACACTTCCGGTGATGTCAGGGTGTGTGGCCTTATGACACACTTCGGGTGATATCAGGGGGTGTGGCATATGCTAATGAGTTATGCTAATGAGTTCCCCTAGCTCTTTTTCTACGAAACGACCCCTGCGCATAGTCCGTTGTCTCTTGGAGCGAAGCTCGACGTTTGTCTCTGGACTTGTCTGGACTTGTCTGGACTGGATACATTACAAAGAGGATAGGGAGGAAAGGGGTCTGTGTGAAGAAGAGGCTTTGCCACACAGCCAGTTTTTCCCCCGAGCGAAGCCTAAGATGGGAAGAAGCTCAGATATTCATGAACCTCTGATGCCTGCGGAGGATTTGACAAACACAGCTCACTCCATTCCCCGGGGGGTTGTCCTGAGCTCAGTGTAGAAGAGTCTAACGTCAGGCCTTCCATCGATCACTAGGGGCCCCCCCCGGGTGCCAAACAGCCAAGGAAGCTCCCCCCCCCATACATTACAAACTGCTTCTCCCCCACACTCTCTTTCCTTTACAATCTCTGCAACTAGGGTTGCCAGCTCTGGGTTGCGAAATTCCTGGCGACTTTGGGGGCGGGGGCTGAGGAGGGCGGGGCACGATACAAGGCTTCTGGAAACAGGTCCTAGAAGAAATAAACAAAATAACGGCAGAGCATGTCCCATTGGACCCAGCCATACTACTTCTGGACGCGACACATACCAGAGATGATCGAGAAGTGCATGTCTCTGAACTGTCTGCCACTTTGTTAGCCAGGGCAAGGCTCGCGATTGCTGCCCCTTGGAAGTCTTCGGCACCTCCATCCAAGCACCAAGGGAGGAACAAATATTGGGATCAGGGGTCGTTTCGTAGAAAAAGAGCTAGGGGAACTCATTAGCATAACTCATTAGCATATGCCACACCCCCTGACATCACCGGAAGTGTGTCATAAGGCCACACCCCCCGCCCCCAACGGTCCCGGCCGCCACCGCCGGCCTTGCAGCTCCACTGCCGAGCCCCATGAGGGGCCCGGCGGTGGACCTGCAAGGCCGGCAGGAGTGCAAGGAAGCCCCGCGTAGGCCCTCCCTGGCCCCAGGCAGGCAGGGGTGGGGAGAGGCAGGGAGGAAGCAACTTACCCTCCCTCTTCTCCTGCCTCCTCCTGGCTGAATGAGGGCCGGAAGCAGGGCAGCCGGAAGCAGGGGCGGGGCTTCGTCATGTGCCCCGCCCCCCGTACCTCACCCGGGGGAACTGCGATCCCCCATGATCCCCCCCGAAATGACCTCTGGTTGGGATCATTTTGTGATGGAGAAAATAGCTGACACATATGGCACACACACAAAGACACGCAGGGTCACAAACTAGATTTGTAAGAAAGTGGTGCGCTTTGATAACGTATTTCACTGGAAATGGCGTACTGCCATCAAATCTTGGATACTCTGAGTGGTTGCGTTTATGAGTTGTGAGCTTCTCGTAGGGTCGGAGCACTATGTTAAAGCGACCATTTAAAACACTAGATTAGTAATGATATAAGACAGTTAGTGCAAATTACAGTTTATCTGGAATTTCTATGGATCTGATATGCTGTACGTTATAAGAAACATGTCTGATATTATCGCTGTTTTCCACCGTATTAGTGACGCATGCATGTTATTTTTTGATGTATGCTTCATTTATCTTTAAATAAGGGGTGCCATTTGGCACGAGGAGCTAAAGCGTGCGTCCCGGGGGCTGCGGGAGGCCGGGGAAGCTTTTGCACTTTTGCGCCTGGCTGGCGGTACAGGCCGCAGCGGCGGTAGGGGGCGAAAGGCTGCCTTCCCAGGCCTGGGGGGTTGGGAAGAACCCCTCGTGCGTGTCCCGGGGGCTGCGGGAGGCTGGGAAGCTTTTGCACTTTTGCGCCTGGCCGGCGGCATGGGCCCCAGCAGCGGTAGGGGGCAAAAGGCAGCCTTCCCAGGCTTTGGGGGCTGGGAAGAACCCCTCGCAGCTGTCCCCCATGCGGCAAGGCCACTTGGGGGACAGCCGCGAGGGGCGCCATTTGGCACGAGGAGCTAAAGCGCGTGTCCCCGGGGCTGCGGGAGGCCGGGGAAGCTTTTGCGCCTGGCTTTCACATTCCGGCCCAAAAATAGTGATCCTCACTGCAAGGCCCCCTGGGCTGGGAGGGGGGTGCAAAGGAGAACCCATGTGGGCGGACTGAAGCGCCAGAGATGCAGCACTGGACAGACGCTCCCACGATGCTTGACTGCTGCAGACGAGGTTGTTCCGCCATGCTGGAGCCACAATCGGAGTGGCTTCGCCCACTCCCCACAAACAGTTTCATGTTCCCTCCCTTGCACTACTTGCTCACGGGCTTCATAAGAGCCCTGGATGGGCCAGTTCCGGCCCCCGGGCCTTATGTTTGACAGTCCTGGCTAAAAGTATGAATTCATCCATATTCTGCCCCCCCCCCAGATGTTCCCCTGTTTCTATCATAAACCCTGGTCATTCCTTACCCAATTTGTCTCACCGTCCCCCAGGACAGAGGGAAAGAAATCACAAATCTTCAGTTCTTCAAGGTCACCTGGAGTCTGCATTTGTCATGAAGCCAAAATACTTAGCAATAGCATCTGGATCCCTAGAGTAGAAATTGTACTTTGGATGGGAAACATATATTTTTTTTAAAAAGGTATCCCACCCCAGAATCCTGCAGAAAAAGCTTCCTTTATGCACGAGGACGAAAAAATATCGTGTCGAAAACATTTCCTTTCTTGCTTTTCGGGTGGGCGGAGATCAGACCCGCTCCGCTGGAGGCCAAGATTCGTTGTGTAGGAGAGAACAGGAGAGAAAAGTACGTAGGGTTTGCTGGCAATTAAATACCAAGAGCCTGGAGTGTCTGAAGCGGTTTTGTGTCTCTCTGCTTCGCTGGCTGCTGAATTCATTTCGAACCTCATCTAAAAACAGATACCCCCCGCCTTGTTACATTCCTCCTTATTCTTCTTGCTCTCTCTCACTGCTCCTATTCTGCATTCATTTAGCTTTGGGAAG